GTTGGACTGATACAGGGACTTGGCACACTCCTCAAGCGCCTGCTCATTACTAAAAATGGCCAGGTTCTCGACGTTCATGTCCTGCAACTCTGCCGGGTTCTCGACGTTCATGTCCTGCAACTCTGCCGGGTTCTCGAGGTTCATGTCCTGCAACTCTGTGGGGTTCTTGAAGTTCACTTTCCGCGGCTCTCGTACTCTTGGGTCTCGGCTGGCATCTCGTGGGATCTGGGCGCCTTTCGCCCGGGAGTCGCGGAGAGGTTCTCGCTGTCGGTCACCACGATGGTCTCGGACGGGGTCGTTGGAGCCGATGATTGCGTCGCATGGGAGTCCGGGTAGCCGTTGGGTGTCGCCGCCGTCGATCGCGCCAATGCCTTGGGAGCTGCTCCACGGGTCTTTGCAACGGCTGCTTGACGCTGGGCACGGACCTGGGCCAAATGCTTCTCCGCGGACTTCTCCGCAGCAGCCCATCCGATCTCCTTGTCTCGGAGATTTTCCACTGCCACATCCGGAAGCTCCCCCTTGACTGCTTGAGACGTGTCCTCCGGCAGTGGGCCAGGGGATCGCCGGAGTCCGTGCTTCGCCACTCGGGGGGTGTACGACAGGCGTAGGCCGCATGTCTTGCAGTGCACCCATTGGCCGTGCTGGTTCGCACCGCTCCGTGATCCTTTCCCCGGCGGCTCCGGGACATGGTGGCTGAAGCATGGGGCTCCCGCGTAGCGGGGATCCCGAGGATCCGCCTCGACTGTACGAGACGTGTCGAGGGGCATCGACTTTTCCGTCACATTCTTCGGCTTCGTCCGCCCTTTGCTGTCGGCCCCCTTCGAATTGAGTTCCCCACTGCTCACGGTGGTCGCCGGCAGCTCCGAAGACGTGGCCATGAGAAGCAAGGAGAGTCACTAAGATACCAAAAGGTCGCATCACTGGAAGCTCTCGGCTTCGATCTTGGGCCACGGCATTCGGGTTCGCTTCATGTTGACACTCGTGAGAAGGAGGGGCAGGATCTCTATCAGATTCGCAAGCACCTTCAACAGCATGAGGCTCACTCTGCGCAACGGCTATTCCATGACCTGTCTCATGCACTGACTGGCACTCAACCTGCTCTTGATCAGACTGCACACCTCCGTCGATCATAAAGGCAGACTCGGTTTTCTCAGGCTGCGCTAGCAGTACGGCTCCAGCCCTTGGCTGAAGCAAGTCAAATGCTTGAGACATCCAATCCTCTCTCAAGTCCAGCAGAAGGTGGCCGGTACGAGATCGCCTGAGGGGAACCCCTTTTGAGGGATCAACTGCACCAAACACAATCACATCACGGTGGAAGTCGAGCACAGCATGCAATCTCCTCAATGTTTTCACTCCGATAAGCAACGGTACACCCTGTACGTCCAACGTGAAGACTCCAAGGTTCACACACAACTCTCCCAATCTTTGCGGCAAAAGAACATGAGAAGCTGAATAGCCATGCGCTCCATTCCCGAACTTGAAACGCTTCGGAGGTTCATCAGTCACCTGCACCTGGTCGCTCCTTCCAGTGGATTGTCTCCGGGCGATCATCAGGGCTTCTAGGGCAGGTAGGCTACACACTGTTTCAGTCGCTCCAGAATCTAACACCGCAAACCCTGCAAGATCAACTGACGTCTGTCTCTCCTGCAGAAGCACAGTCTCCTCGAGGTCTCCCGGGAGGTGCTCAATGACCTCTGGCTCGGGGCTGCTGATCATCATCACGGACTCCTCAAGGCTGAAGCCCTTCACCTCGGGAGTCTCAAGGACCTCGGGCTCGGAGAGCATGAAGACGCCCGCCGCATTGAAGTTCACTGAGCCGCGGCCTTTTCCTTTCCGTCGAGGGCACTCACGGAAGGTGTGGTTCTTATCTCCACAGATGAAGCAACCGGTGTAAGACTGGTCTCCCGGCCTCATCGCATAAACTGAGTCCACTTGCATCACCGGAAGCGAGGTAGCACTTGCTGGCGAGCTGGGGCTAGGTAGGAAAGGCCGTTTGCCTTTCTTTCCTTTCCCCTTTCCCTTTCCTTTCTTGCCCTTGGAGGACGGCTGAAAAGGATAGAAGCCTCTTGACAACCGCTGCGCTTTCACTGCCTGTTTCGCCTGAACAAAGTTCCGCAGCTTTCCGTCCGCCATGGCATAGGCCTCTTCCACTTCCTTCAGCTCCTCCGGAGACAATTGCGAGCCGGGGTCGTCCTGCCATTCTGCATCACCCCACCATGTCGTGCCCTCATCAAACTCGGGAGCCCAGTAATCCTCCGCGCTCTGGTCCTCGTCCAGGGAGTGATCCTCTCCATAGTAGTGGACCTCGGTGGTCTCCAGGATCTCGGTCATGTCCTCCTCGTCCATAAGAAGCATGGACCAATGCCCTTGGTCCTCAACCCAGAAAGTCCTTCGTCGGGGACCTCCTCCATGACCACGGTGATGAACTTCTTGTCCAAGTAGCTCATCTTCCATGGCCCTCATCGCGGCCTCGATGGAGTCCAGGCGTAGGGAATTTCCTGCTGCCGCCTGGATATTCAAGCGAGCCGAGTTGGACAGTCCAGCTCGCCTCAGTAGCAACCATCCCAGCAACTCCGAAGGAAGGGCTTCTTCCAAGACCTCATTGTAGGATTCCCAAAGCTTAAGGTCCTGAAGCGCATGCTGGGAAGTATCGCTGTCACTGTCCTTGTCTTTCCGGCCCCCTTTTCTCCATGCAGACATAGAAGTTTGTGCATCACGCGTGGTAAAGGGCGTCCTCGAGCGAGTCGGTGAAATTCTCGGGGACTCCACCTGCACGACATCGTCCTCTTCCACGGCCGGGCCCTCGCCAGGGAGGGTCTCCGTCTCCAGATTCTCGGTGTCCGCCTCGCCGTGGGGCTCTTCCATGGTCGCCGAACTCCTTTCGCCAGAAGCTCTCGCCGGTGATCCGCGTGTCCCAGAAGACTTCGGACTGAACCCGGAGGTAGGTGCCGGCTGGGTCTTCCGCACACGTCCCAGCGCCTGCTGGAGTTGTCGATAGGCCTCCCGCAAGCGAGAAGCCCAAGTTGAGAAGCTCTGCCCAGCTGGCCGACGGAGCCGCAAGATCAAGTTCTCCAAGCGGGTGCCGACATCGTGCACCACTCCAGGCCCAAGTCGGGTCTCCAAGAACTGAAGCAAGTAGATGACTCCATTTCGGCGGACCAGCTGGGAGTGATCAATCTCCTGAGTCACAATCCATGCCCTTCCACTCAGTTGAGTGAGGATATCAGGGCCTAGTAAATGTCGCCGCTTCCGAGGGGTCCTTTCAAACGCTAAGCGGGCCTTCCTCACGAAATCAGGCCACGTGTTGCTGTCGCCGTCCCATCCACAAGTAAAACGACTGTCCTTTTCGGACATGAATTCTCAAAAACCTTGCACTGGCTTTCCACTCCTTGCCTCGGTCTTCGGGATGATCAGGTACTCCCAGGGAAGCACCTAGTTCAAGCTCTGCAGAAGGATCCCGTAGGGCTCGAAGATGAAAAGCCAAAAGGACTGGTGGGCGGCCCAACCAGTCTGAGCTCCCAGATCTGAGCTCCGCTACCAACGTCGATGAGACGTTGGCAACAGCTGTCAGAGGTCAGAACTCGCACAAAGCACCACTCGCAAAGGTAGCCCCAACGGGCGCGGCACTTTTCCTCGGACCTGCGGTCCACGTGAATGCGCACTCCGGCGCCGCAGGGGAAGCCTATGGCTCACAGGAACCTGGGGTTCCAAAAGTAGTCGTAGCACCTGTGCTAAAGAAGCTTAGGCCAAAGGACGTCCTGCGGGCACGAAGTTGGGCAAGCACAGGAACGTATTGAACCTTGCTCACTACATACAAACGAGGCATTGCCTTTGACACAAGGCAAGGTCAATCTGGTGTCGTGGCGTTCCCAGAAACTCCCGAGGGTTGCTAGAAGTTCCTTGGCGGCTGAGAGTCAAGCTCTTTCCCTGGCCGAGCAAGAAATGATGTGGTGCCGTTTGACATGGCGGGAGATGCTGGGTGACGACATCAACCTCAGCAACCCGGCCGAGTTCACTGCGAAGACCAAGGCCTACCTCATCATCGACGCTCGAGGAGTCTACGACGCTCTACTTAAAGGTGCTGACTTCTCTTCGGGGTTTAACCTTCGTGACAAGTACTCAGCCCTTGACCTCATGGGCGTTGCGGACCAGCTGAAGGCACAGGGGACTCTTCTTGAATGGTGCGATAGTGACCACCAGCTTGCCGATGGACTGACGAAGAGCAGTAAGCAAGACTCGCTGCGGAAATTCCTCACTCAGGGTTCCTGGAGGCTTCGCCTCCCTGGTGCATTTATGTCCGCGAGACGCCGACGTGGACTGGAATCCGAGCAAGCAGCCGTCTCTCCTTGAAAGATTTTGGGGGCATGTCAAAGGCAATGCCTCGTTTGTATGTAGTGAGCAAGGTTCAATACGTTCCTGTGCTTGCCCAACTTCGTGCCCGCAGGACGTCCTTTGGCCTAAGCTTCTTTAGCACAGGTGCTACGACTACTTTTGGAACCCCAGGTTCCTGTGAGCCATAGGCTTCCCCTGCGGCGCCGGAGTGCGCATTCACGTGGACCGCAGGTCCGAGGAAAAGTGCCGCGCCCGTTGGGGCTACCTTTGCGAGTGGTGCTTTGTGCGAGTTCTGACCTCTGACAGCTGTTGCCAACGTCTCATCGACGGAAGCGACCCTTGCAGCAAGAAGCTCGCATGAGGCAAGCGAGGTTCTTGGCCGACCCGTGCTTTCTAGGACAAAACGCTTCTTACGCACCTGTCGCAGTTTGGTTTGTATTCCTTGTGGGCATAGAACCACTTGTAGTGGAAGAGCTTTGGAATTAGGTCTAAACCTGCAATGGCCACATTTCCTGAGCCCAAATACCTCGACACCCCTTAATTCCAGCGGAACTCCACGTAACCTAAACTTTCAGGAATGATATCAGGTCATCAGATTCATATCTGGCTATCGTGATTCTGAGCCCTGAAAAGCCAGGTTTTACAGGGTGCGGGTAGAGCCTGACCAGGTCCAACTCTGCGAGTATCGCCAGTTCCGTCATACCTTGGCCCGCAACCTCTATGGCCTAGCGGATGACCAGCACTCCAGCTGAAAAGAGCTATGAGCCCTGGGTCCGTGTAGGCTGACGTTTGCAGTGACGGGGTTGTGCTCCTTTACGGGCTTTCGATTGAAAGTAGATGCGCAATCAAGACTGCAAATGCGACTCATGCCTTTGCTACAGTCTAGCAAGTCTTAAACCCTAAACCCTAAACCTTGCCGAAATTTACACTCGAGGCCACTACGGCTGATGATATAAATCCTGCATTACCGTAATGACCCTAGACTATGGGGAATTATGGCATATTCCTTTTTACGGGTAATGCATTGTTTTTATCATCAACCGTACGACGTTCGACGTTCGACGAGAGCACACTGCAAAGCGCATCTTTTGAACCGCAGACATTTCGGGACCCAAGAAAGACGCGAGCACAATCATTTCACAGAGGCATCCCCTCCTCACCGGGTTTCATCACCAGGGGGTGTATATGGGATATCCCAATCCTTATCCCCGCTTACGTGCTTTTTTGGGGCCCTTGACATGGAATCTGCTTCTCCGCCAATTAAGGTCCATGCGCACGGAGGAGACGTCGAAAACCGTTTCCGCCGAGGAACACCGGAGAGATTTAAGGGTTTGGGGGGGGGAGGCTGTGCCGTGTGACAGCAACATCACACAAATCACCCTGATCCCGCAGTCATGTCCATAACCTCAACCCTATAACGGCATAAAGCATTTTTTGCCCACAACCCCCAAGATATAAGCTTAAACTTAAACACACAAAATAATACAGCCGAAGCCTGAACCCCAAAACCCTTATCCGGAGGACTACATGACGCAGGAGAAGACCTGCATGAAGTGCATCTCGTCGTGAAGGACAGTAAGAGTGTGCGCTTTCTAAGTTGTCCTTACTGCTGCCACTACTAGTTTCTTAGTACAGTATGGTACGCCCTGGCGGCATGCGTTTAACCACATTCTAGGATTTACGAGGTGCTCCGTCATCGAGTATGGTTATTGCTACCTTATGAGAAGTAGCGGCTTGTAAAATGTAGGTCCGTAAACCCTAAACCGTAAAATATGCGAGAAGGACATCCGTGTTGTTTTCATTCTGCAGCATGACCCAGCCGCACAAGAAGCCTTCATCTCGCTTGTGGCCGCTTCTGATCTTCTTCAGTTTATAATTTAGGGTTTAGGGTTTCCCAGTTTCATACCCATTGCAAGTAATCAGTTTCAATTTGATTAGATAGGATTTAGGGTTGAGGGTTTAACAAGATTTTGGTTGGGCGGCGTGCAGTGCAGCCCCAAAACCTCCTGACCTTGTCCCAGAGATTCCACAACCGCTAGCACTAGCACTGTTGTGATGTCGGGGAATACTTTTAGACCGCCTCCCAGACCTCCAGAGGCTCCACCAAAAGTGTTGCATGAAGGAACCCGTATCAGGGAGCCTTCTAATGTGGGGAAACTTATTTCCCCCTGAACCCTAAACTTCTTCTTGAAGGGACGTTGAAGGTTTGGGATGCGTCGCGCCAATTGGAAGCAGCCCAGGTGTTTTCCCGTGCGAGGACCGCCAGGTGCGGACTGTTCTGCATGCCGTCAGCACACTAAGTAGAGAAGCTGTAGAACCGTCGCTCCTAACTTATGTTTGCAGTGTTCCCAGGCATCGGCAGCCCAAGCGACGAGCCAAATCGTGAATTGACAAGATTTTGGTGCCGCCAAAAGCCCTGAAACCCCAAGATCGTAAAGCCATATCCAACAATCAACCACCTTTTTGCGGTTCCTTGTCGTGATTTCCTTGTATACGTCAAAAACGGAGGTTTTCGGGGTCAAGGAAGTTTCGCGGCAGGGCGAAGCAAAGGAGGACTAGCGACTATCGTAAGCATGATCCCCCCGTCTAGCCTGTCCTCGTGATATTTGGTACTTTACAAGCACATAGAAACCACAACGGTACTGCATGAACTGATTCTTCGTTTTTTTTCGCGTAGGTATAGTTCATCTACAGGCATTGGTCACGGGCCTTGCCTGGAGAGCTCCAGCCATGTTTATAACACGTGGGCCGAGGCCCTTGGTCTAATCAAAGGGTAAAAGGAGGCACCCCTAATAAGGACCCCTAGGTATATACCCATAATATAGCCATTATATACCCATTCTATCGCCCATCACAGGGTAGGGGTCCCCATTAAGGGTCCCTCCTTTTCCCCCTTGTCTAACGGTAGAGCTTGGAACTCTAGGACCGATGACTTTAGAATCTAAGGTTAGAAGTATGGATTGGGTACTGTCCCCATTCAGTAACAGTTGGATAATATTCATAATATAGATATCTTCGGACCTTAATCGTAGCCCTATTATAGACTGTTACTGTATGGGGGCAGTACCCAAAGTATGGACATAGTAAGGCCTCGAAACAAGCCGGCTTCCAAATGAGGCATCAGCTGGGCAAAGGTTAGGCCCAGATTCTATAGACTTGAAATCCTCACTAGACCCTGATGCCTCAACCTTATAAGCTCTTAGCCTTCGAAACCCGAACGGTCCGAACGCCGCCCAGAACATCCATGCAGGTCACGCTGGATGTGCCTCTCAAGCCGGCCAAGTCCCCGAAGGCGCCACGGCCGGGGCGAGGCAAATTCCCCCAGCCTTAGTCTTAGTATCTATCCCTACTGGGGGTTCCCTTAAAGGGGTCTATAAGGGTTACTATAAGGGATACTGTAAGGGTACTATAATATAGGTTAGATAGTGAACGGGAGAACTTTAATCTTTTTGGCTTTATATAGTTGCTCTATTTTAGAAAGTTTGAACTTTTTGGGGCCCGGTTGTTGAAGAAGAGAGCCCAGTTACCCAAATGGTAGGTTACTGGGGTAGGTAACATATATGGTTAGTAACCCACTGTTCAGGGAACTGGATCCCTAGGGTAAACTGCTATAACATCGTTCCTTGCTGGCATTTGCTGCAGTAAGCGGCATTCCAACAGGTACACTGCAGACTGAGTTTAGGCGTTGTATTTAAATGGGAGGTTCCGAAAATTAGGGGCACCTTATTTTGGGGTCCTTATAAGAAGGATCCTACTATTTAGGGTGCTATATTAGGGTCCCCTATTTTCGGAAACCCCCGAAGTCTCTCCGCATACTACCCTAAGCCCCAGGGCATTAAAGCCGAGGCCTTGAACCCCCAACCTCCTAAACTCCATAAAACTCACGATACGCATATAAATGTTGCAAGTCCAAGTCTTCCGGCTTGCGACATCCGGATTCTCAACCCTAAGCCCAAGAACCCTAAACCCTAAGCCCGTGAACCCTAAACCCTTAACCGAGATGACTCCGAGAATCTAACTTTTCGTGCCTCGAGCCTCCCAAGACTTCTCGGGTGCAGGGTTTTCCTTATAGAGCCCTGAAAACCCCCAAGCCTCAAACTCGGGCTGAAACCCCCCCAACTACTCTCTACTATGCACCCACATACCCACTATTCAGTTATTATGAGGACGGTTACTTAAATAGCCATTATTCAGTTATTACAAGGACGGTTATTTAAATGCCCATGATTAAGTTATTAAGGATGGCTATTTAAAGCTTTTTTCAAGGGCCCTTGGGGGATCCTGGTCCACCGCAGGGGTCTCCTTCGACTACTTGGGGGGGGCTATACAATTACGGTTCCTCACGAACCCAAAGGGTCCAAAGTACCCATATAGTAGAATGTAGGGTTTCTTTTAAAAAAATTACTATTATGAATTGGGGAAGTATTCCCCATAACAGTACCCAGGACCCTTTGGGCAAGCATGGACATATGACGGAGCCCCCGAACCGGACCCCAGTTTAAAAGAGCCCTTAAATTCGCGCGCAGAGGGCTTAGGATCGAAGGCGTCGGGCGTGGGTTCAAACCCTGACCGGAAAGGGTCTTTGGGTTAAGAATATTAAATCAAAATATGTATGTGTATATATATATATGTATGTATCATTATGCAGTATATATACACAAAAATGCAGGGGTGGAGGAAAGACTACCTACCCATATATATATATATATATATATATATATTTTTTTTATTTATTTATATATATATAGGGGTCTCCGAACCAGAGTTTTGGGGCTGAGCTTCTCCGCCTGCCTCGCACCCCCTCCCCCTCCTCCCCGGCTTGTGCTTGCTGCAGGTGGCTGCGCGTGTCCTGTCGATGATGTTTCAGAGCCTCGGCTTCAAATAATTGATTTCCTTTCTTGGTTAATATCGAGCCCCAATTACAAACAATTTTACCGACGGTTGAAATCGACACCTGGAAGTGCAGCCAGCCCATGACTGTCTGTTGCTTCGAAGCCCATGGTGCAGGATGCTAAGGTATGGTTTCGCCACTTCTTTACATGTCCTTGTGCTAGAGGAGCATACAGAGTGTTTATCGCTCCGGAGTACAGGTTTGCGGCCCAAGATGCTTTATCGCCATGACATGCAGCGTACCCAGACCTGCTTGATAGCACCAATCACTGCAATTGACCTGGTTGCATACTATAGGGGCTTGAATAATTACCTATACTAGTTTGCGGGTTTGCTTATTATAATTATAGTATAATGTACCCCTAAACCCTAAATCCTAAACCCTATTCTAATTATTAAGGCCCTGATATTACTGTACTGTCCCTACTGCCTGGGCGCTCTACGCCCTCCCTTCGCAAGTCCAGCTGGAAGCCTTAAAGCCCAAACCCTAAAACCCTAATATAGGGGCCTTAACAATTACCAATACTTTTTCGGGGGTTCGTTATGCAAACTAGGGTATAATGGGCCCCCAAACCCCATTCTAATCATTAAGGCCTCCTAGACAATGACACATGGCCAGATCGCAAGCCATAATAAAAGCATAGTACTTTCTAGCACTTCAACCCCTGAGAACCAGCGCCTGGACGGTGTGCGCAGCTTGGTATCGCTTCGCTTTGTCAGCAGTCCCCAAACCCTATTCTAATTATTAAGGCCCCTATATGATAGTACCCTTATAGATCCCTTATAGTAGCCCTTATATGTGCCAGCATCCGCCGACCCCCCCCCCCTCCCCCCCCCCCATGGTAATCCCTCCCCCCCCCCCCCTGTGGTTCCTGTGGTTCCCCCCCCCCCCTGTGGTTCCTCTTGGTTTTCCCCCTCCCTTTTGTGGTTCTTCTGGTTCCTGTCTCCCCCCTCCCCCCCTGTGGTTCCTGTGGTTCCTCCGCGTGGTTGCTGCTGCTTTGTTGTTGCTGCTGTTCTTCTTCTTGTTCTTGTTCTTGTTCTTGTTCTTGTTGTGTGGTCGCCGGGCTCGGGGGGGGGGGATACCATTGGGGGGGGGGGGGGGGGTCGAGAACGCGGAGCGCGGGCACATATAGACCCCTTTAAAGGAGCCCTATAGTAGTGGCTAGTGCGTTCCCTAGATTCCTGAGATGCCAGCGATCCTACAAACTAAGGAAGGTGATAAGCGGCGAGTCCGAGGCACGGGTTTGTTTAAAATAATAAACTATACTAGTTTGGGGGTTTTGCATCTTATAATTATAGTATAATGTACCCCTAAACCCCAAACCCTATTCTAATCGTTAGCGCCCTTCAAGCCCTTCAAGGGTCCCCGAGCCGTAACATCGGGCCTTAGTGGTTAGGATAGGGCTGTGTGTGGTAATTATATATAGTTCATACACTAGAACCAAAACAGTGAAGATCAGGGCACACTATTTCCATTTATTCCGACTCTAGTTATGAAGGTTCCTATGTTAACGTTCAAGATTATCAAGTTTACATCTGGTTTGTTGGCACATACAACGACGAACATGCAGTAGGAGTTTGTCAGGTGTTAGTTATAGGAGGTTTTATAGGCTTTGTAGGGACATGTTCGGGCATCGCCAAAGCAAGAAAGCTGGAACTGGAGCAGATTATCCGCAACTCCAAACTTCTAGCAGGGAAGGGCAGCCAGTCAAACTGCTTATTCCCTGTGCTTCGAGTGCAGTCATCCTTGCCATCCCCTTACTAAAGCGAAGCCCCCAGCCCCATACCCTAAGCGACACGAAGCTGGTGGGCCCTTTTTGTGGGCGTCGATTGCTGTGCAGGCTGAGGCAGTCTCCTTTCGAGACAAAGTGCTCATGGGTTACACCCACGGGGAGGCAGGGGCTTGCAGGGTCATGTCACTGTTGGAATCCAGTTCGTAGCTCAAGCTAAGATATCCACCCTTTGCGCCCCGACCCTCCCCCGAACCCAACACACCCAAGACACACATTGTCTTCCACTCTTGTGAATTCATCCCGCCATTCTTCAGTGCGATGCTAAGGCTGCTAAGCTGAGTAGGGACTGTGCGGTACGCTACATTTTGCCTCCTGTTTGCCTCGTCGTGTACATTGATTTTGCTTGTATCATCCCTTTTGTGTGTCTCCTGTGGTGTCGTGTCCTACGATAGGGGCCTTAATACTTACATATACTATTCTGGGTTCCATCTTATAATTATAGCATAGTGGGCCCCAAAACCCTGTTCTAACTACTAAGGCCCCTATATTACATTGCATGTCTTTGCAGCATCTTGCCAGAGACATTGAAAGGTTTTGGTGCCAGCAGGATAATCCGGATAATAGTCACGTTTAGTCTTGTTTGTCGCTTATCGTTAATATTTATCGTGGGTTGTACATACATAGTGACCTCGTGCCTTGATCAACAACTTGCACAGATTCCGGATATAGTTGGGATTTGGTGGTCCTCTGCTGCAACAAATGCTGCTATTCAGCCGGCATACAGGCGGTGAGTCCCGAACTTTGTAACGAATCCTCGAACACATTGCAAGGATGTGGCTGATGATAGCGACGCGTGGTCCCAATGCAAGGCGGGAAGTTTGTTCTTGGTGATTGCTGGGAGGGAGCTTGACATCAACGCTGTGTTGGAAAGCTCATCGACGGTCAAGTCTTAACTGCAGTGAGGCGACACGCTTCAACAGTTCAGCATGGATACTTCAGGCATGGGAAGTCGACCTCCTGTTATGATCCTTGTTAAGGTTTATCTTGATGAGTCATGGGTCGACATTTGCTAGGATCTAAGCCCACCAGGCTCACTGACCAACACCTCAAAGGCCATCCGGCCCTAATTCACGATAGCTCTCAACGTGAGGGCCAGAATTCCGTGAAACTCAATAAATTTTCAACATCCGAAACTGCCCAAAACCCTGTACAGCAAGACAAACAACAAAACCAATGGCTCTTGCCGACGCTATGCAGGTCCAGTTGTCTCATCCCTCTCCGCTGGTCGCCTTCCAATTCGAAGCAAAGGACCCTTTCATTGGTTCTAACTGCTGGCGCGTCTTATCTTCTCGCCTCTGAAAATTCAGATTTTGGCGGATTGTGTAGGTGCTGTGTTTTCTGAAAGCTTAAATTTGATTTCCTTACATGTAGAAAAATAGAGTTGCCATGTCTTCCTCAATCTTGATAGCTGCAGATTGGGATCGGGCAGTGTGTTCAGTTCACTGTCCAGAATCTGTCTGGCGCAATTTTGCGTAGATCCAGAGTTGAGCAGAGCGGGTTTACAGCATCTCTAGTTTGTGCAGCATTGTACAGTTCTGGGTTCAGCGCAAGTCCTAATCCCTCAACCCAAGTTAAGCCAACGCCGTTTACATCTTCAGGATACTTCCTCGCTTAATCGTGAGCTCGCTGAAAAAAACGAGACCAATGCCATTTTTTCTTAAAAATTGAGAGAACCCTAGGGCTGCAGTTGCCTAAATAGTGGGTTACTAACCATATATTATATACCCCAGTAAGCTACTATTTAGGCAACTGGAGCCCTAGGGGAAACTGGGATACCTGAGTTCTCGCAACTTCAGAAACTCAACCTGCTGTCCTTCTTGTCGGAGGACGGAGCGAAGTTCCCTTTTCAGACGACCGTGGCCGCAGCAGGAAGTATTCTTCAAGCTGAGCGTCTTGCCAGGCCCAAGGGGGAAGGACTCAGCCCCAAAGGGTCCAAGTACCAATATGGGAGTTTCCGAAAATTGGGAGTACCCTATTTGGGGGTCCTTATGTGTAATAAGAATCCTACTATTTGGGGTCCTATGTTAGGGTTCCCTGTTTTCGGAAACTGCTACATAGTAATTAGTTACTTAGTAGATATTTGCGCCCCAAAAGTATATACTATACTATTACTTGGAGCCTTTGGGAGGGTTTAAGGTTTGGGTCTTGAGGTTCTTAGTCAGGTGCCGGAAGGTTGACGGCTAAGGATGAACGTCTCAGAAGCGTTTCAGTTCGACGCACTTCAGATACTATCGTCCAAGTCGGATTGCAGAGTGTCCGTTCTTGTAGGTTTGGGGCGTCCTGAAGAGCGGGCGAGATTGATGAATCCTAAGCCTTATTAATGGTTGACTGTTCGTATTGTTTTGGGGCGGGGAGCTTTTTGACCTCGGAGTTGCCAGGGGTTTAGGGTTCAAGGGTATTTTGGATTCTGGGGGTTCGTTGATTGACTCTAAGAATCTTACTTCATACGGCAATGTCATGGAATGGTGTATAATACTGCAAGCCTTGTTTTGCAATGCATGCTGCTGTGCAACACAAGCTTGTACGACATAGCCTGATGCAGCTCTGGAGACTACAGCTAGCACACTACGTCACAAATCCCCATCTTAGCACCTGCACCAATGCCCTGCGATACTTCGCAGGGCAATATACCTCTGACGAACCCTGGAGCTCCAAGACGCCATAGTAGGTACCATTTCCCAAAGGCTCCATGTAACTTTGTACTAGATACTCAAACCTCAAAGGGGTCCCTATATAGGTACTTTAAGGCCTAAGTATATGCTATATGGGTACATGGAGCCTTAGGGTTTGCATACTTGGAGCCCTAGGGCTCTGGGAAACACAGCCTGCCCGCATGCACGGCGGATGAACTGCGGAGGCTTTGTTGGGAGCGCCTTCGATCTGGAAAATCGAAGGCACCACCGGCGGGAGTGAGAGCCCGAATATATATATATATATATATATATATATATATATAGGGGCCTTAATAAGAGAGAAAACTTCAGTGGAGACTATAGGCAGGGTCTAGGGTTTATACCTAGACCCCGCAACTACCCTGTAGTATTACCCACTATTAAGGACCACAAGGACTCTTTTACAGGGCACTTTGGGGATCCCGGTAGGGTCTACTTGCAGGTTCATGGTTAGTTATAAGTGGGGTTGTAAGTAGGATAACTAAGGTTATAACCCATATCAGGGGACCTTTAACCCCTTTTATAACTTGCCATGAACTTCCAGGTAGGATTCCCTAAACCATACACCCTGAACCCAAAAACCTAAGCCCTAAACCTTAACCCCAACACCCTGAACCCATGAACTTCTAAGTAGGGTGAGCTTCGAGAGCACAAAGTCCGGAAGATTTGGAGCGCCAAGCCCCCGGGCGCATGAATCTTCTCTTTCAGTCCGGCACCCTTTGTGGAGGTTCATGGGTAGTTATAAATGGGGTCATAAGTCTCTTAAGATGGGGTATAATTCGTAGCTATCATTATCCTACTTATAAGCCACTTACAGCTAACCATGAACTTCAGTCTGTTGTTCTGAAAGTGCAGATGGTCCAAATCAGAAGCTCGTCTCGTCAGCCTATGTACATCCTTCTTTCGTAGTGCTACCCAGTCTGGTTAACACTTGTGTGTTAGTTCTTCGTGCAGTTGTTGCTGTTGCCATTGGAACTAAAGGCAATGAGGTGAAAGCATGTGGGAAGTTCTCTAGATTAGGGCCCCTTTTGAGGTGCCAACATGGTTCGGCACCCGTGTAAACAATAACCCCAACAAGGGACCCTAGTTGAGAGAACTACCCATGCGTCGACGATGAAGGATGACACCATCAAGTGGAGGGATGCGCAGTACAAGCTGATGAAGAAAGAAGTGACTTCGACCGCAACCCGGCCAAGAGGGTCCTAAGTACCTATACAGTAGGATGCAGAGGTCTATGTCGGGATCTACTGTTGTGATTTGGGAAAGCATCCCCCGTAGCAGTACCTAGGACCTTTGGGCAAGCAAAGGAATGACAACACTTCACACGTTAGCTTGCTTGAGGGTAGTACTTCGCAGTACTAGTATGAGTAGTCGTGGTCGCAGTAGCAAAAGTAGTGGTAGTAGTCGCAATAGCAGCAGCAGCAGGAGGAGGAGTAGTAGTAGTAGTGATAGTAGTAGTGTCATCTGCGACGATACAGTAGAGCCGCCCAGCATCAAGCACAACAAAGGGGGAAGCATTCGTAGCTTAGAAGACACAGCTCTTGCATCCTCATGGATTTAAAGCCACTTTGAGTCCTGCCCCCAGTCCAGCCCGAAAGCCTGAAGCTCACGAACCGGCCACGATCTCTCATCTGACACCGATCCAAGGACGTCGCAGGACCGATGAATTCTGCAACTGCACCAGGGTCAGGATTAGGTGGCAGAGGACTCTGAGCGATCTAGAATCCAGAACACAGAGACCATGGATGGAATGAGGATTAAGTTGCAACGCTGCAGGAATGCTCGCAGTATGGGATCTATGATTGAGGTATCAAGGGAATGTCGAGTCCACTTCACGGACACTGCCGTCAATAGCACTATGTAACACCTCCAGGAACCGAGTTCTGGATCTCACTACGTAGTCAGGAGTAGGCGTGTTCTTACCAATACTACTAGGGCTTCTTGTCACATTGCTGCATTTGGGCTTTTGACATGCTTGCTGTGTTGCTGACCAATCTAACCCATCGCACCCTCTTCGATTGCGGAAGATGCCATCACATATGAGCGTTGTATTATGCTACAGCTGCTGCTGCTGGAGTTGCTGCTGCAGCTGCTCTCGTTGTAAGCTGCGGCACTATAGTCACTACAAGGTTCGATTTGGGAGTTCCAGGGTGTAGACATCCAACTGCACCAGTACAAGTTTGGTGGTTTGAGTAGGTGGAGGCGTCCTTTGCTGGCTTGTCCTGTTTGCTCTCGCACAAGATAGGGCAGCTTGAATACGATAGTAACACGCTTCCTTAGGGTTTCACAACACTCATCGCATACTCCGGCAACATGTTCTGATCATCAAGGCTCGTGTGCTAGCTAAATCGAAATCACGCAGCCATAGATGTCACGAAATTCGCTCAACATCCACAAACCGCCCCAGGGAATGGGGGGGGGCCCGCTGCTCAAAAAGGACAAAGCGCTGCAAAAGGGACGAAGCGAAAGAGGAGTGACCCGGATTTCTAGACTGCGAAAGCAGAGCGCAGAGCACGCAGGGTATGCCGGACAAGCAGTAATCTAGGGCCTTGATAATTATAACATGGCTATGAGGCCCATTATATTTTGTAAATTATAAGATATTATATAATAAGGAACCACCAAAATAGTATTGGTAATTATTTCGGCCCGCCTTCATAGAGCGACTGCTCAGCTCCTGCGGGGCTCTGATCTCGGAAGCTTCCGATTCCCTGCGGCTCAGATAGTCCCGAGAAGGGATCGAGGGGACCAACATCCCCAAAACCTAGTCGTGCTTAGCTTTGAACCGAAGGCTGCACCGTTTGCCTGCCAGAACCTGAGCCCTATATTCGTGCCCTCAAACCCTAAACCATATAGCACCCTTGTGGAACCCCTTATGCAAGTAGACGTATAAGTACCCGAAAATTGACCCTAATTGGGGCTATGGTACTTATAACCCTTATGGTACCCTTTAAGGAACCTTACCGCATCCGACTGGACTGGTTTATCAAGGATGTAAGGGCTTTGGGCTGTTAGGGGCGGCTTAGGTCTATAGAAAGTGTATAAGGCTTTGGGTTTAAGGTTTGGGGCTTCAGCTTTTGTTTTTGCTTCAGGGGGTTGGGTTTCAGGGTGGAGGGGTTTACAGTTTTAGGGGTTAGGCTTCAGGGTGGATTGCCATCGGCAAAGCAGGACGCAACTCTGCGTGAGCCAGCCCCATTTGTGTGTATGTGTGTGTGTGTGTGTATATATATACATATATATATATATATTGGTTTTTATTTAAAGTGATATATATATATATATATATATATGTTTATGTAACTATGTATGTAGGTAGGTAGGTATGCATGCGTGTATGACTGTGATTGTGTCTGTCTGCCTGTATGTATTTATGTATGTATCTACATACAGCTTAGATATGTGTATACTGTTATATATCCACATATTTAATTTCACGACTGTCTATGCACTTGTGTGTATTTAGTCTAAACTTTCATGTAAATACGGTTCGTATTGATGTGTCTCTGCCTATGGGTAAATTGCCTATCTATCTATCTATCCATCTATCTATCTACCTATCTATCTAAGTACCTATATACCTATCCACTCATATAATCTATCTGCAGCTTTCATGAATGGGTGTATGTATGTGTGTATGTGTTCACATGTGTGTATATGTATCTGATGTGTCTGTATTTGCATATACATACACACCATCACATGTACCGATGTCGTATGCGTGTGCGTGCGTGGGCCCGGTTGAGGAGGAGAGATCATGTAGTACAGGCTGAGCCTGAAGCTGCCGCGCACAACCCCAAACCCTAAACCCCTAACTCTACAAGCCCGAAGCTGTAGGTTAGAGTTGCTTCGGAGAGCTCTGAAACCAAACTAACCTGGGACCCTGAAGCCCTGAACCCTTAAATGCCACGGTCGATTGTTCTTATTGTTGTAGGGGCCTAAGATGACTTACCTATACTATTTCAGGGGTTCCTTATTATAATTAGTATAATGGGCCCCCAAACCCTATTCTAAATACCAAGGCCCCTGCATCATAGTAACCTGATAGATCCCTCATAGTAACCCATAAAGGGACCCCTTTAAAGGGAACCCTATACTAATTATCAAGGCCCCTTTTTTAAAGACCCCAAACTTCTTGGACTCGGGATGGCGATCGGCAAGCAGTGGATGGGTCCACGAGAACCCCGCTGAGATTTCTGTGGGGCCAGGGGTGCAGAAAAAGCTGCACGAGCGAGTTCAGCATCATCCATGGCTGTTTCGCACGTGGCAGCTTTTCTACATATATATGTATATACATATGTACATATGTACATATATATATATATATATGAACATGTCGTCTGCATCAGAGCCTCTCTTGAATCTTCTGTGCAACTCTTTTGCCAACTTTTTTCTGCAGGCTCCACGGCCTCTACGCTTGCATTTTGCGCGGCTCCAGCATCAGTTGCTGATGGCCGGGATCCTACACAGGACTAGTTCAAGCCTCACAACCCTAAAACCCAAAACCCTGAACTTAAACCCTAAACCCTTCGACGCTTGTTTCCCTCCTCGTGGAGTTCCCCTGTGCTTTCGTGGAGTGGCTTTTTTTTCTGTTTGTCTCCCTATCTATCTGGGTCGATTTGGTACCGGTGCCGTACGACCTGGATCCCAATTTTGAGAACTACCGCTATGTATCCATCTATCGATCTTTCCATCTGTCAATCGATCGATCTATCATTCTATTTGCCTATCTCTCTAGCTTCTCCGTCTAGCTATGTGAGTGTCAGATTACCCTAAGGCCCCGAAGTAGTTCCTTTTGGGGTTCATATGTAGAATTCTATAAGGTAATCCCAAAAAGGAACTACTTTGGGGCCTATGGGCACCATGCAACCCTAAACTCCGAATCTCCCCCAGAAACCACAATTCGAAGCCCAAGGGCAGTCGCGGGTATGTCAGGTTTGAGGGTTTAGGGGTTAGTTTAGGGTTGTAGAAATACTTTCTACATGCCAAGATGGCTAGGGTTTAGGAGCGAGCATGAATGTCGGAGCAATTGATATTACCATCCTCTTACTGTTTTGCTATAACTGTATAATCATGTACCCCAGGACCATATCCAAGTGGTCAAAGCTCCTATAGTGTAGATTCAGTATACTCTGAAACGCTTGAATCCCAAACCCTACACCTTGAATACATAAACCAGCCCTAAACCATGAAGTACAAACCCTGAAACCGGTAGATTGTAAAGCCAGAAAAGCCCTAAACACTAAAATCTTGACAATCTACCACCCCCTCACATCCTTATGTCGTGAAGCATAAACCCAAGACATTGAGAAGCTACACCGTAATGCCCTAAACCAGGAAGCAGAAGCTTTAAACTCCACAAACTCCAATTGAGTTGTCCTTTAATATGCTTTAACATAGTTGTAGGATCACTACTATAATTTATATAGTCTCTTCCGTAATTTTCTTATAGAGCCCTTGTAGATCCCTTCAAGGAACCCTAGGGTATATTCCTCAATTGAGGAATATTGGAGTCTTTGGGCAAGCCGAGGCCGCGCGCGACGACAATGCGCCAGCGGCCGCCATTCCGCCTCCTCACCAGCACTTCGATTGGAATCTGAGGAGGCTCGGTCTCGGGGTGTCCTTACCTTTGGTTCAGGGAATGGATTCTTCCATTCCCTAGTGACCAAAGGTAAGTTTCTTGGCTTTGGAGTACCATACTTTAATACTTCTTTGGAACCTGTTACTTAAAGGGAACCAATTATGAAATAAAAGTCTACACTTGTTTTGCCCTGGTTACTTCAGAGCCCAGGTTTAATATAGGGGCCTAAATAATACTTAGTAGCTGAGTAGGTAACCTTTAATCTTTGGGGTTCATATAGCCCTACCATAATTGAGAAGGTTAACCTTTTTCAGGCTGGGATCCTCAGCCTCACTATTTTGGGGGCTCCTTATTGTAATTATAGTATATGGGCCTCAAAACCCTAGTCTAATTATTACGGCTCCTACAATATAGTACCCTTGTAGAGCTCTTATAGTAACCCATAGAGAACCCCTTTAAAGGAACCCTATTCCAATTATTACGGCCCCTGCAATAGGAAGTTAAGGGCTTAGCGCTTTGAAGCGTTTAGGACTTCCGATTTGCAGGGTTTTCGGGTGGAGGGTTTAGGGCTTTAGGCTTAGGGCTTAGGATTTCGGCCATATTGGTTTACAGGCTTTTGGGTTGAGGGTTCGCTTATGGATTAGGGCTCACAGTATTAGAGTTTAAAGGTTTTGAGTTCGAGGATAGAGGGTTTGGGGCTTAAAAAGGTTCTTGCAGTTCGAGTGTAGGGTCTCGGTGCATATACGAGTTTAGTTTAGGCTTCATACGTTTCGTTTCCGAAGTCAGTTGGTAGGTTATACTTTGAAAGAGGCTTACGGTTAGTGCTTCGGGCTACGAGGGTTTGGGGTTTATAAGTGCTAGGACATCTGTGTACTTATGCACTTGGAGGATCATGGGACTTTGTAAGTAAGGTTATAAGTACCTTAATTGGGGTTATAAGTAGTTAGAAGCATAGTTACCCTGACAACAGCCTTAGTTACTAAGTCCCATGATCCTTTAAGTATGTACAAGGGTCTAGAAGGGTTTAGGGTACAGGGTCTAGAAGGGCTTGTAAGAATGGTTTGTGAGAGTTGATAGGGATTTAGGGTCTAGGAGGGTTTAAAACATTAACAAGGGTTTGTAAGAGTTCAGGGCTGAGGGACCTCGCAGAGACGACATGACCCTTGTGAGCTATGGAGCTCTATCCGAGACTTTGCAGTCTGAAAACTTACAGTATCGGATATCCACCTGTCGCCCTTTCGCCGAAAGGCTTACGGGAGATATGGGTGTCAGGTGTTTCAGAGTTCGGCTTCAGGCATTGAGGGACTACGATTCAGAAGGCTACGAGCTGAGGCAGTTGAGGTTAAGGGTTTCTTTAGGGGTCAAGGGCTTCGGGCCTGGATGGTGTTTTAATCAGAAAATGGCTGTTTTGTTGAGTTCGAGAAGGAAGTGTTATGGTGAAGCCCCCTGCGGGAATGCATGTAGGCAAGGCTTGTTGAACTCGGTGTTCTGCCTGTGGTTGGTGCTCTTACTCCTTACATAATATGTTCAAGCACTTTGTCAGAGTTGCACAGGCCTTAAAACCAGGAAACCCTACTGGGGCGAGGGTTTTCGTCATAGTTTGCCTGCGGGCAGCCAGCCTGAAGGTAGAGTCCTTGGGCATCTAGCTCATTCTAGGGCCAAGGATATTAAATAAATATCCTTGGGCATCTAGCCTTAGCTCATTCTAGGCTCAGCTTCGGGCATCTGGCTCAGCTTCAGGCAGTTTCCTCAGCTTCAGGCATTCTAGCAATAACAGGGCAGCAGCCTTGGGCGTCCATCATACTTCTAAGTTCCCTAACTTCTCGCCTTTGCTGGCCATCCAGGATTCCGGCATGCTGCACAAAAACAAGTGCACGCAAGAAGCGCGAAGACGGGAATCAGAAGCCTGCAG